GGGCTCGAAAGAATCGGTCTTGCTGCTGCTAATGACTTTGTTTTTTAGCTTAATTTTCTTCAAAGCTTCAAGCTTTTGATGGTGGTGTTGGTATTGATGATGAAGCTCTAACATGGCGGATTTCCGAGTCCTTTTGGATCGTCTCCGAGTTGGGTTCTTAGACGACTCAGTCTCACTCTCTCTATCTTGAAGAACAACAGAGCCAGCATCCACAGCAAAAGAAAACTCAGGATCTACTAGCCTTATGCTTCTCTTTGGATTCTCTCTCAGCCCATAAAACATACCCTCTTCCCCTTCTTCCCCTTCCTCCCCATGTTCATCTTCTTCTTCAGAAGAAGATGAAGAAGCTGAAGCAGACTCTGCAAGTTCATCAATGAGAACCTGGACTTGGTCCTGGTTCCTACCTGGTGGTACTTCTTCCTCCTCCTCAAGTTCTGGTTTTGCAGGAATTGGAAGGTTCATCATATGAGACCTCATGTGGCCCCCCAAGGCTCTGCCATTGGAGAAGCTCCTCATGCAAAGCTTACACTTATGCCTCTCCATTGTAATTAACAAAACCCAAAACTCTGATCAACCAAAAACAGAGCCAAAATATTTATTTTAAAAAAAAAAAAAAACAGAGCAAATTTTTTTCTGTACCTTTCTTCCCCTGAAGAGCTCAGAAGCTCTTCTTTCTTTCTTGGAGAGAAGATAGTGGAAACTACAAAAAAAAAGAGTAGGTGACAAGCATTCCTCCACCAAGAGAGAGATATATACAAAGCTACAAATTTTTTTCCTTATAAAGAAAATGAAAAATCAGAAATGAATTTTTTTTTTCTTTTAATTTTTGATTTATTTTATTTAATTTGTTCTCATAAAAACGGCAAAAATTACAATAAATTAAGGTTTTAATCCATTAAAAGCGTATCCATGAAGGTTGAAACTTGAAAGAGAGACATGTAACATGCGAAGCTTGCCCGTTTCTGTATTTATTCCCTTCCCCCCCTCACCCTCTCTCCCCTTTATTTTTTCACCATTTATTTCCCTTTCCCAAGATGCCCTTCCCGACCCGTCATTTAATGGCCAAGGAAATTGGATTTTCCCTTTTACTTTAAATGGGTATTTCTGGGAATTTATGCACTAGGTACCAGAATAAACCGGTGGCTTCCTTGTCCAAGTCAAGGAAACTGCTGGGTTTGTTGTAACGACGAAGCTGAATGAAAACCCATGGTGTCCTCCGAGGGTAAAAACGAACCCACTTGTTTTAAACTCACCAACCGGTGACCCGAAAACAGTAACAGACACAAAACACCCACGTGTCGTGATGGTAGCCCATCAACACCTTGTGGGCCCCACGTGAGCTAGCAAGTTCTTTTTTTTAGTAAACAGTTACTAAAAAGGAGAAAACTGAATCGGATTTTATTTTTATTTTAAGATTCTGTAACCTTTTATTTATGCCGGTGATGTTAGGGCCAACTGTCAGTGTGGGTAGCTTTAGCATGCCGGCTGGTCCTTTTTATGTACTTATCCAATTTATTTTCACTGATTTCCTGTCAAATAAAAATTAAATGAAAAACCCATAAAAATAAATAAATAAATTTTGTTGGGTCTTTGTGGGTGCTGATTGGTATTAGTTTTCCATTAAAATTGGATCTTTGGTTGAAACGTGTGATGGGAATGAAGGGTGGGGAAAAGAGTAGGAAACTAACCTCCTTTTGAGAAGGGAGTTTTGTATGGGGGGAGAGAGAGAGGGAGAGGGAGAGAGAGAGAGATAGCAAATGCCGTTTTGTTAGGGGCTTTGTTTAGACCAAGTCCTCCTCCTACGTGCTCCCCACAATTTGGTTTCTAATAAGTAACAAATCCCTGCCCAAGTGGGCATTTTAATTACACATTTTATTTTCTACACAGTTGAGTTGGGTAAAGGAAATTCCCATAAAATTCAATGGCATTTCTCTTGTAGGAATATAAAGTATCTGTTTGCGTATAGGAAGGATGACCATTGGAGTTGTTGACATTGTTAGACTTGCCGACTGCAACTGCATGTAATTTAAAAAGTTAGGCCAAGTGAAAGCTAAGTGGGGGCAATTTAGAGATCTTATTGGAGAAAAATAGAAATGAGTGGTAGTATATTCCAGCTAAAAGATGATCTTGGGTCTAAATTTGTATTGACACTCAAAACTGTCATGTGACAAGAAGAACACTATCGAAGTTAATATATATATATATATATATTCATGTTATGAGTAATATGAGTAAGTATCGACGCAATTCAACAGTATCAATTTTAGTACTTATTTATCACAAATTGAAAAGAAAAGAAACTACTGGGCATTAAGCTTTGCATCATTTTATTTGTTTTAACATGTGCTACTCAATTAGATAACTTATCTAAAGTTTAAGAATATTATTATATTAGTAATACGCGAATGATCGCATATCTAAGTTAAGGTCGTTAATACCAAGACAGTGTACCAGTACCCTTGCACTTCAGTCCGATTCCCTCCTTTCGTGACATGAATGACCATTAAGTGATAAACACAGTGCTCTAGGCCGAAACAATGATGGTAAACAAGTAAAACTAGTATATGGTCCAAGCGTCCAAAGGCCAATTGGGTGTAACCTAATAGCAGCATGGCTAGGTACTTGTTTTATGGTTGCGGTTATTACAATTGAAAAAGTGGTACCTAAGAATTCATTGCATAACTTTAGTGATCATATAGACTTTGGTACTACCGACGGATGACTAGCAGTAACAATCCATCTTTCATGTTTCAACAGTGAAGGCAAACAATAATTGATTTTTGAAGTTTTTTCTATCATTAAACTGGTGATTTGTGTCGATTTTTAAGCTAGAAAAATGTAACCTTGGAAAGAATTAAATTAAACTGCACTTCATTTGATTCGGTTCCGTTTGGTTGGTTTATACGGAAAGTACCTCGAACCAAGTCGCATATATTAACCACCTAGACTAATTCTATTTTTACTTTTTTTTTTTTTTTTTTGCCAAAGTTAGAAAGAGGAGGAGAGAGATCTCACACACATACAGACCAGGTGTCATGGAAATTTGAACCTGAGACCACTAATCTGCAAATCGATGCTCTTTTCCACAATACTAGACCCCGTTGGCAATTCTATATTAACCACCTAAACGTAACGTTGTATTACAATTTGGCACCTCCGACCACTTCTATCCACCTTTTTTAAGAGCAAACTTGTCATATGTAGTAACCAGTAGGGTAACTAGAGATATCTTCCTTACAGTGAGCTTTGTTAATAGTGTCGAGACATTTCCATCAGTGAGTCTTCACTTGAGAACGACATCTATGTCGTCCTCTTTTCTTTCTTGTGCTCCAGTTTAAAATCTTTTGTGGACAAAAACCCCATTTGATGGGTTGATACATTGAAAAATATATCATGATGAATCTGTTTTCTTCGTAAAGTTCTTTGTTAGTTTTATAATCTTTGGTAGAAAGATCCCTAAAGATGGGCTATGATCACGGGCCTTTACAGGTTTTTTTTTTTTTTTTTTTTATAAGAAAAATAAATAGAAAAAAGAGATATTTAGTTATTTACACATTCTTAGTACTAGCTAGTGATATAGATAAACTCTACACTATTTAATTTTTATGCTTAATTGCTACAGTGCACTTTGAAATATTGGTCAAATCCTACTTTACCCCCTTAAAGTTAAAGTGACCCACTTTTCTCCCTTAACTAATGTTTGATATTCCACATTGCCCATACCATCAACTCTTTCCAAAAATCCGTTAAGTTTGATGATGTGGCAGGGGTATTTTAGTAATTTTGTGAACCTAAGTCATTTACTCACCAATTTGAGTGGGTGATATGGCAAAGTGAAGCCCATCTCCAACATAGATTAAATAAATAAATAAATATTTATTTTCTTTAAAAAAAAATGCAAACATAAAATTTTAAAATTTTAAAAATTGAAATTTTTTTCCTCTCTCTCTCTCTCTCTCTCTCTCTCTCTCTCTCTCTCCCCTTACCCTTTTTCCTTTTCTTTAACCTCATGAGACTCTGTAACTCACTCTTTGACGCGTCTCTATGGCCAACCCAACTCAAGCTTTAACCCAACCGCTCCAAACCATAACCAGCCTCTTAACCGCAGCCAAAACCCTACAACTCCAACCCCTTAAACCCTACATTCCTTACCTCACGTAGCCCCTCCTCCTCCTCTCCATCCTCAGCTCCAAATCCTAGCAAACAAGCCCATCGCTCTCCTCTCATTCTTCCAATAAACCCAAGGCCAAGCTTGTTCCTTAACCCAAACCCCTCACCCCCTCCTCGCGCTCCTCCACCCTCTCCTCTGCCACCACAAGTACCCTAATGCCAAAACCCTGCTGTCCAATTTGATTGGCAAAAGACATGTGTATAATGCTGACATGACATGCTGAATTGTTTAGTTAGTTAGAAGTTCACGTGGGTTCACGTGTTTGTTAAGTCGTAGTTGAGAAGCTAAGTGCTTCTATCATATAAATATTAGATACTGCTCATTGTAAAGCAGATCAGAAAAAGAGAGAAAATTAATAAAAGAAATTGCAAGCTTCTTCTCAAAGTTTCTTCCCACGTGTTCATTGAACTTTGCTATCATGGTATCTGAGCTTCGGCTTCTGATCTAATAGCTTCCGCGTGATCTCTGTTCATCAGAATTTTCTTCTCTCTACACTTCTTGATGGAGCTTGTTCTGTACTCACTGTGGCTGCAAATTGTGATGATTCTTCTCAACTTTTTCAGTGCGATTATGGAGGCACGAAGCCTCTGAGTTCTTAGTTTACAATTGAAGCACGAAGCATCTCTGTTCCTGCAAGTGATTTAGGCACGAAGCCTCTGAGGTCTTATTTTACAATTGAAGCACAAAGCATATCTGTTCTTGCATCTAATTTCAATTTTCTATTTTGGCATGAAGCCTCCTAGGTCTTGTTTGAGATCAACGATTATTGATTGGTGATTGTGTTCTTTGTTGTTCCGTGCTTAGTTTAGACAAGTTGTTCGCACGAAGCCTGCATCAATTCTATTTTTTTGCAACAATGACTTTTGTGATGCCTAAAATTGAAGGACTTCTAGGAATTCTTACCATTCGTTTGTCTGAGGATAACTTTGTTAAGTGGCACTATCAGTTCCAATCAGTGCTACAAGGTTACGATCTCTATGGTCACTTTGATGGCTCTAGTAGTTGTCCACCTAAGTATGTTGTCACAGAGAGTGAGGGAGTTACTGGTGAACTTACTGAAGCATACAAGCAGTGGATACAAATTGACAAAGCTCTATTGAGCTTGTTGATTGCAACTCTTTCGAATGATGCGATTGAATATGTTGTTGGTTGTAAGACAGCTAGAGACGCATGGCTTAATCTCACAGATCGTTATGCATCTGTATCAAGGTCTCGAGTCACACAGTTAAAAACTGAGCTTCACACAATTAGTAAAGGTGCAGATTCTATTGAACGATTCTTACTCAGACTTCAACATCTTAGAGATCAACTGACGGTTGCTGGTGTCAAGCTGACGGATGACGATATTATTATTCCGGCTCTTAATGGTCTTCCTGGTGAGTTTGATATAATCAAGACTGTTATCTTTGCTCGTGAGACTCCCATCACTATGAAGGAATTTCGAGCACAATTGCTTTCTGCTGAGCGTACAATAGAGTCACGGGTGATGGCATTGTCTCATCAAATGTCTGGTCCCATGAGTTCTGTTTCTTCCACTCAAGGCTCTAGCTCGCAGTCTTCTTTTCTCTCAGATCGACTGTTGGTACTATTCATGCGCAGCCTACATCTTCTCATGGTTTTACTGGTGTGAAACAGTCAGGGCATTCTGGTTTTCAATCGAATTCTTATTCCCGGTATCCACAACCTCTCAAGGATTTTCTTCAGGGTCTGTCAGATATAGAGGCAATTACAATTCATCACCACAGTATTCAAATCCAAGAGGGAATTTTCAGTCACGTCATTCTTTTGGTTCCTCTATTCAAAAGTCTCAAGTAATTCCTGAGTGCCAAATTTGCAACAAACGAGGACATACTGCTTTAAACTGCTTCTATCGAGTTCCTAAAAATTCTTCTGTCTCTAATCCTGTTGTGGAATGCCAGATTTGTGGAAAGAAAGGTCACACAGCCTTGAACTGCTACCATAGAGCTAACTTTGCCTATCAAGGCACTGCACCTCCTGCTTAACTCCATGCAATGACAGCTCAAACCTCTCCTTCATTTTCTGCTGATGAGTTTTGGATTGCCGACAGTAGTGCATCTCATCATATGACCAATAATGTGACTCAGTTGGCTCAAGTTGCTCCTTATACCACTGATGAGAAAATAACTGTTGGGAATGGCGAAGGTCTGTGCATTGCTCATGTTGGCAATGCTTATATTCCTAGTATTTCTGGTTCTTTTCCCCTTAATCAAGTTTATCACGTGCCTCAGTTGACTGTCAGCTTGTTATCCATTTACCAACTGTGTAAGGATAATAAATGTTGGGTGATTTTTGATGACTCATAAATCTATGTGCAGGACAAAGCAACGAAGGCTCTGTTGTACAAGGGTCGCAGTAACAAGGGTCTGTATCCAATTCCTCAAGCTCTGGGTGATTTGTCAATAAGGTCCAGTACCAAGTCTTCACCAATTGTGACTGATGGGATTGCCTCTACTCCAACAGCTTTACTTGGGAAACCAGTATCTTCAGTTCTCTGGCATCAGAGATTTGGTCATGTGTCCAACGAAGTTCTTACTCAGATGTTGAAGCAGTCTCAAATTTCTAGTGTTTCAGATTCCTCTAAGAGTTTATGTATTTTTTGTTTGAGTGGTAAAATGCACTGCCTTCCTTTTGCTAGTTCACATTCTCATTCTTCATTACCTTTTCAGCGATTACACTCTGATGTATGGGGTCCTTCCTCATCTGTAGCATTTGGTGGATATAGATATTATGTGTCAATCATCGATGACTGTACTCGATTCCTCTGGATTTTTCCATTAATAAATAAATCTGAGATTTTTCCCGCATTTGTGAAATTTCATGCGTATATTACTAAGCACTTTCAAGCTTCTGTGCAATATTTTCAATCTGATGGTGGTGGGGAGTAGAATAGTAAAGCTTTTAAAGATTTCTTGGCTTCTAAGGGCATTCTCCATCAGATTTCATGTCCTTATGTCAGCAAAATGGGGTTGCTGAGAGGAAGAATAGGCATATTATTGAAACCACAATTACATTACTTGCTACTGCTGCGTTGAATGACAAGTTTTGGTACTATGCGGGAGCTCATGCTGCCTTTCTCATAAATCGTATGCCTTGTCAGCTTCTTCAAATGACATCAACATACTTCAAATTGTTTGGTCATAATCCTGAGCTTCAATCATTAAAGGTTTTTGGATCTGCAGTATATCCACTTCTTCGACCCTATAATTCTCACAAGTTGGAGCCACGATCAGCAAAGCATGTGTTCCTTAGATATTCTCTTGGTTATAAGGGTGTTAGTTGTTTTCATCCTAACACTTATAAAGTGGTTATTTCAAGACATGTGATTCATGATGAAACTCAGTTTCCAATGAAGAACTGTTCAGTATCTTCAACCCAATCTTCTTCTGTCATGACACAGTTGTCTTCTTCAGCTATAGCAGTTTCATTGCCTCATAGATATGTTACTACCACAGAGACTGTTCACTCTCTTCTCCCATGTTCAAATGAGAATTCATCTTCTTCAGTATCTACATATCAGGCTCAAGAGGTCTTAGGTTCTGCTCAGACTATGCAACCTATTTGGATCCTGCTCAATTACAGGTTTTGCTTCCTCTCTCTGTCACAGATGCCTCTAGTTCTTCTTCTCATATTTCCATTCCACAACATGGTCATTCTATGCAAACTCGTCTTAAAAGTGGTATTAGCAAGAATAAAGATTTTGGTGATTTTCAATGTTTCCACTTGTTTATCTACAATTACTGCTCTTGATGAGCCTCATACTTTTCGAGAAGCTAGTACAAAGTCTGAGTGGCAGCAGGCTATGACAGAGGAAATTCAAGCATTACAAACTCAAGGTACATGGGATTTAGTTTCTCCAGTCTCTGATAAAAATATTGTTGGTTGTCATTAGATTTACAAAATTAAAAGACATGTTGATGGATGTATTGCTCAATATAAAGCTCGTTTAGTTGCACAAGGATTTAGTCAAGAACAAGGTATAGATTTTGATGAAACCTTTAGTCCTGTAGTTCGTCATACCACAGTTCGATTGATTTTAAGTTTGGCTGCAACTCATAGATGGTGATTGCGTCAATTGGACGTTAAAAACACCTTTCTTCATGGTGACCTACAGGAAGAAGTGTACATGAAACAGCCTTTGGGATTCATTGATGATCATTATCCAGATTATGTATGTCAGCTTTGAAAGTCTTTTTACGGTCTTAAACAGGGACCACGCGCTTGGAATGCCAAGTTCACTGGATATCTTCCAGCTTTGGGCTTTGTTTCTTCACACTCTGATCCTAGTCTCTTTGCGAAGCATGATGGTCGTAATGTGGTTATTCTTTTGCTGTATGTGGATGACATTATCATCACTGGGTCAAGTTCTACCTTAGTGCAATCTGTGATTGATGATTTGGGACAGGTGTTTGATATGAAAGATATTGGCCAGCTTACTTATTTCTTGGGCTTAGAGGTTTCTTATCAATCCAATGGTGATTTGTTTGTCAACCAAGCTAAATATGCTCATGATTTACTTAAGAAAGCTGGCATGGAAACTTGTAAACCATCAATTACACCTTGTAAACCTCATTGTCATGTTCTGACCATTGATGGTACATTACCTCCTGATCCTACAATGTTTCGCAGCTTGGTTGGAGCTCTTCAATACCTCACATTCGCACGCCCAGATCTGGCATATGTTGTGAACACAGTATGCCAGTTTATGACTGCTCCTACTGATATTCATATGACTTTAGTTAAGTGTATATTGACATATGTGCAAGGCACTTTATCTTATGGTTTGACATTTACATCTGGTTCTTCTGTTTTGGTTGGCTATAGTGACGCAGATTGGGCTGGGGATCCCAGTACTCGTCGCTCTACTACAGGGTACTTGGTATTTCTTGGACAGAATCCTATCTCTTGGTCCTCTCGTAAGCAATCTTCTGTCTCTCGTAGTTCTACAGAGGCAGAGTATTGAGCTCTTGCCAACTGTGTTGCTGATATCTCTTGGATCAGATTTGTTCTTCAAGACTTACATAGTGTTGGTCCTGAAGCTCTAGTCTTACATAGTGACAATTTATCAACATTGGCCTTAAGTAGTAATCCAGTTTTGCACTCTCGCATAAAGCATTTAGAACTTGATTTTCACTTTATCAGAGAACGGGTTCAGCGTCATGATTTGGTGGTTCGATATGTCAATACTGAAGACCAAGTTGCCGACATTTTCACAAAGGGCCTGCATAGTCCATTGTTTTTGAAACACTCTCACAATCTTAGTGTTGGTCCAGCCACCACTGCGATTGAGGGGGGATGATTGGCAAAAGACTTGTGTATAATGCTGACATGGCATGTTGAATTGTTTAGTTAGTTAGAAGTTCACGTGGGTTCACGTGTTTGTTAAGTTGTAGTTGAGAAGCTAAGTGCTTCTATCATATAAATATTAGATACTGTTCATTGTAAAGCATATCCGAAAAAGAGAGAAAATTAATAAAAGAAATTGCAAGCTTCTTCTCAAAGTTTCTTCCTACGTCTTCATTGAACTTTGCTATCACAATTCATCGCCTCCGATCTCCAAAACGAATTCCTCTGGCTTCTTATGCGGGTGAGGACTAAGGGATAGGTATGGGTGGGTGGGTTGCGATGGGGAAGGAGGGGAGCAGAGAAGAAATTGAGAGGTGAGGGATAGGAGGGTTTATGGGTTCTGAGTAGGGAAGGGTAATGGGGCTATGTTTGGGTTAGTGGGTTCCTTTTTTTTTTTTAGTGGAAAATTAGCTAATTTTTTTCTTCAATTGTTTCTAAAATAATAAATTTTTAATGATTTAACAGAAATTCATTAATTAATTAATTTATTAATATATGCTAGAAGTGGGCTCCACTTTGCCACATCACCCGCTCAAATTGGTGAGTAAATGACCTAAGTGCACAATATTACTAAAACACCCACTCAAACTTAACGGACTTTTGGATGAAGTTAACGGTATAGGGCAATGTGGAACATCAAATCTTGGTCAATGGGGCAAATATGGTCACTTTGCCTTTAATGGGGTAAAGCGGGATTTGACCAATATTTCAGGGTGAACTAATTAAGCCTAATTTTTATAAACAAACCCAAAAAAATGACAGTTGGCCTATTGAATTTAATTTTGATTATTAAATTAGTTTGATAACCTATTGAGTATTTTAGGTTTTTTTAAAATGAGGTTTTAGGGTTGGGCTGTTTTAAAAAATCAATGGCAATTTTGTAATTTTTAGGAAGTTCGAAGCCTCTTTATTATGTTGTAAATGGGCTTTGGATGTGTTTCTAAAGTCAATTTCATGTAAGATTTTTTTAATAATTTGGAATAGTGAATCTTCCAAAAAATTATGTTTTCATTGTAACATGTAGAGAGGAATGGTAAAATAGGAACAAAATATCATGTGCTATTGGTAGAAATGTAGAAACTCCTACTTACCTAATAAGTACGAAAGTATTTTTCATCTTAAAATATGTTATGATGTGCGGAACATTGGAATTCCTTGAGATTTGTTTTGTAAGTTTTTTTTTTCCAGTGTTTTGTAAGTTTTATTTAGTTTTAAAAAAGCAGAAAGAACCACATGGTTATTAAATGGGCTAATGTCCAAATTAAAGTGTGGTTATTAAAGAGGTTTAAAAAAATCTTTCAATTTAAGATGTGTGGCTTCAAATTTGAATGTGTGTGAGAAGATAAAGTTACTTTTGGTTGTTCGCCTAATCAGATTACAGAAGCTCGAGATAAAGCTTGGTGTGCTCCTAAGTGAGCCGTTTACTCTTGATACTGCTGTACATCCTTAGGTTTTGTCTCCGAGCAATTATGTGACCTCTTTGCCACTGGAGGTGGCTTTATAAAGTTTATAATTTCAGCACATCCCTTAATTTCTCCATGGGATGTGGGCTTTGTCATACTTTTTTATTATTTTATAATGCAAACGATAGTCTAAATTACATATTACTAAGGTGTTATAGAGGTTCGAACATAAGACTACTGGTTTGCAAGTAAAGGCCAATTTTCACTAGGCTAGACTCCGTTCACTGGCAGACCCAGAATTTTTTTAGCAGAGATGCAATTTTAAAAGGCTAAAAGCTTTATTTAAAATTATAAAATAAAATAATAAAAAAGAGGGAAAGCACATGTGCTTCTTCTTCCTCCTCTGTATGAAGTTATATTTTGTTTCTTTCTAGTATTAAAAGAAAAGGATGTGCTAATTAAGTCATGTTCTTTCATTATAAAAATAATTTGCTGAGGAAAGAAAATAAAAAGTGTATCTGCATTTGAGAAAAGCAGCTGAATTGTCGTCTTAAGAAAGAATTTCAGGATTGAAAACTATCTTCACCCACGATTAATTTATGCCAAGCAATTAATTTAAAAAGAAGAAAAAGAAAGCTTGTTAAAAGCCCTTTTGCACCTCATTGTGTCTTAATAGGCCCGCCAATGACTCCGTTGGTGGCCTTGTCTTCTCAAATGCCTCATCTCAGCCCAATACCCTTCTATGAAACGTCATAGCACAAGAATAATATGTGTACTTTTTGTAAAATAAAAAAGATGTATTATTCGTGAAAACATGTACGTGTATAATACATGAATACTATGCATATTTTTCCATATAATTTAGAAGTGTATGAAAAACTAGAGTCTTCTTCAGAAATATGTACATACACATATATAATACGCAAATTGAACAAGTTAATGTGGTACATCTTAATTACTCTAGTAAAATGGTTATCAGGATAGAGTTTGGTGGCTTACCACTATTCCCAAAACTCTAGCTGTTACAATGTGGACCAACATTTTCTAATACTCCTCTAAACTTGTGGGTATTTCTCCATCATTAGATTCCACATGTGAAATTAGTTTATATCATGAGAATGACCAGAAAGATAAATCATTCATAAATTAATGAAAACTACTCTCCAGTCGCAGTATGTGTTTTGCTTTATACATACACACACAGGCACACTTTTGAATTCAAGGCCTTGGCCAAATTCTAGTAAAATATGAATAAATAGAAGCCAAATGCAATTGCCTAATGGCTTAGAAACTTGTTTACTTTCTAAGCCAAGTGGACGAAACTTTGAAAAGTCATACCTCTAATGGCAGGCAGTGTGTGGAAAGATTCTACTCAAAGAATAAGACCCCTTTAATTTCCGTGACTGAATGCCTGCCCTTAAATATGAATGCTAGGCACCGAAGAGGCCTTTTGGCAAGTCTCAATCATTAAACCCTAGAAATTTAAGCAAACCAATAAATAACATTTTTGCCGTGAAATCTTATGGTGATCATCGAGTAGCTGGTTGGTGAAGAAAATATGATGGTTTTGCTACCAACTCTGTCGAGCATATCGTCGGTGGTAGTGGTACTAGAGAGTGGTTGTTAGCTAGGTCTTGACAGCACAAAGGGAGCTGTTACTTTTTTCTTTTTGGGGCAAAGTAACCAAGCAAATGAGCAAATGAAGCTAACTTTGTTGCGTAAACCGACTAATGGACTTGATGTATATGACTCGTGATGAGAGGATGGTTAATGTATTATGTATGTAGGTTTATTCGAGTTTGTGTATGAATTTGTAAAATTATGAAGTTCGGGATCAAGTTGAAAATAATCTAAAATATCTCATTATATATATTTGTTTGAATATGATCACCGTAAACTTTTACTTTCCTTGCTACTAAATCATTAAATTGGTGATTTAGATAGAGATTGTCGAGAAAGCGAAGAACGAGAGTTTTATTTTTGTATTATGAATAAATACTTTACTATTTCATGCCAAACAGATTTGATTATTTTGTATTCATATATTATTGTGCCAGAGAAATTACACTAACATATTGTGTTCAAAATGCATAACTCTAATAGTAGCAAATTATTTTAGAGTCAACCCTCAATTACAAAAAGACCTCCTGACATATAATCGGGTCCCCCTAAAAGAAATTTGTGACACTCAATCAACCCCATGAACTCTTTTCCGTGTTCCGAAATTCCTTACAACTTCGTTACTATTTTCCCCTTCTTTGTCTATGTGACAACAATTCCAAGCTAAAAACAACCAATAAATTCAAGCTTCATGCCCAAAAATCAGAGAAACTTCATCCTTCATCGATCAAGCTTCAAATAGTATAAATACTCAATTCAGATACATCAATTGTCAAGCCTGAGGTCGTACCATAGTATACCTGAAATTTGAAATACTTGAATAAAAGCAAAGGGTTTTCTTGAGTAACAGGTGATGTTCATGTTCTACTTTGATTCTCATGAAGTGAATCAAGAGAAATCCAACATGCACCCAAAAAACTTGAGACCTGATCACAATATGTATCAAATGATCATGAAAATTAAAACTAAACTACTTTTACAACGGACCAATACACCTACAATAAAGTCATACTAAATATCAAACTCATCATAAATATAATATATATTGTCATCACAATTTATATGAGTTGTACCTGAAACCTCCTCTAATCAAGTTGAAGTAAATACCACTCGATCAAAAGGCTAATTGGGTAATTCCAAACCAATTTTGGTATATCCAATGTATTAAAAGCATTAATATGATACGTATATAACATTAATATGATACATATATAACATTTCATGTAGTCACGCGACCCACCAAAAAAAGTAATTTGGAGAACAAAGTGCCAACTTGATCATAATTTGAGGAGTGTATATGTAATTGACTTTTTCTTTTTTTTATGTCAGAATTTTTTATTTTTTATTTTTTATTTTTTCTGAAACCAAATCATTTCAAATATGAGCAAAGTAAGATCCCAAGACACGTCGGGAAAATTCTAAAGAGATTAAATTGAGTAGGTCCGATTGTGACCACAAAAAATGGTGGGCCCCTCGTGACCAATAGACCCGCCCTCGTCTTTGTAGGTCAGCGCTTAGCCAACCTAAGGGCAGTGCGCGAAACATGTTAGCACAGCTTTTGTCCACCTGACACGTGGCAAACCCAGCAGAGCCTATGTCAGTCAAACGTTTTTCTTATCCATCGAGGCATACCTTACATTTTCATTTGTATTTTTGGGAAAAATTTAGCAAGCACCTTGAACTTTTGGACATTGTTCCTCTTTGCCCTTGGAATTTCAAAATGGTTTTGAGTCTTCTACACTCTCTGTTCTTGCCAATGTCCTTAAGACTGTCAATTATGTCACAATATTCCGTTAGTTTCCATCATGTGCAATTCACATGGTTAAGTTTTAAGAACATATGCATCAATTGACATCGCAACCAGCCACGGACCCAAATTTGGGCATTGAGAGTTTAGTTGAGTGGTAAAACATGAAGGAAAATTTTAGTGTAAGGGGCATAGTGAAGTTGGATCAATAGCAAGTCTCATTTGAATGGACGAAATGACCTTCAGTTTGACAGAATAATTGACATAACTAACAACAGGAGAACATCGGCATGAATTGAAAGTTCTGGGGGTTTCAGAACCAAATTGAATGTTTTAATGTTTAAAGGACAAAGTATTGAGGGGGCATTACTAAAGTTTCTTTTATTTTTATTTCATATCAAATGAGGATACATTGAACTATTGAACTCTTTCTCGTAAACGGGGATAAATATTTTACAGAATCCTAACCTTAAACCAAATGTGATAATCTGCTGATAATTTTAATGTTGATGTTGTACTGATGTATAAACCCATGTACTTTTGTATTTTGAATTTTTTAAATTTTATTTTAAGATTTATGATAAAAAGATAATTAAATGAAAGTTTTCAAACGAAACATTCTTAGACATGAGTATAAGACCTGCACCAAAAACATCAGCTCATTGAGAAAGAAAGAACTAAACTATAATTATTTTCTCTTTCTTTTTTTTTTTTTCTTTTTTTTTTTTTTGGAATTCTAAAGCAGATTACATAGAGGTCCCCTTAGGAACCCAAGATTCATAATTTCACCAAGTTTGTGTGTGTGGTGGTGACTGACACTAACGAATTCTTCCTAGATATCATGACAG